TAAGCATATTTAAATATGCTGAACTATGTATCAATGGAAATAAAAAAAAATATTTCAAAAATACAATTGTTTATAAATGTAGCTTTGATAGATGTTTGAATATGGTTTCCAGCAACAAAAAGGTGTGTTATGATCGATTACATGCGCAGATGTCTTATTGTGCCTGGCAGAAAATTTTTGCTGTACAAACCAGCACAAACGTAGCCGAGTTGATTGACACCCATTTTGTCTGATTTGAAGAAGGTGGGGGGGCTGGTTGACCTTTTGACCTTTACACTTTCATTAATATCTTCAAAGCCAAAGCRGCACAAACGAAAATTTTTGCTGCACAAACCAGCACAAACGTTTGACACCAATTTTGTCTGATTTGAAGAAGGTGGGGGGGCCAACTTCACTCAGGTCCACTTATGACGTAAATATGCACATGGGAAATTTGGTACATAGGTACACTGGTTCAATACTGACAAAAAGTCTCTTGGTACCATACTCTAAAACCTACAGGAAGATGTTTATTTTGAAAAATTACAAATTTTGGCAATTCTCAYGTCACACCAAATGCTATTTCGTCCAAAAAATTTGAGCATATCGACTTCAAATTTGGACCAAATCTTCTTGACAAGATGCTGCACAAAAGTTATTAATAACTTTTCCAAAACGTAAATGGTGTGGGCTTGGGATTTTGCTGAATAAGCCTATTTCTACTTGAACATGTTGTCAAATGTTGTTACATTGTGTGAAAAAATCTTGTACACAAACCTTTCATCCTAACAGCTTCAAAATTGTTGTGTAAACTTTAGACCACTTAAAAAAACAATAAAAACTATATTAAATTAAATTTAATAATGCTATTTCATTCTCAAATTGGAGAGTAGTGACTTAAAATTTGAGCCAAAGCTTCTCCACAATCTAGTGAATAAAATGTTGTTAATCTAATTGGTGTGGGATCTTTTTSAGTCTGTTGTTTACACATCAAACATAACTTTGGGGGTAACATAACTGTAAACTGTTCAAACATCACAACAAATTCCCATGATACATGGGCATCAAGACCTGAACATGCCCATATTCTAATGTCCAATATTCACCACTGCACCACAGGTTAGGGTTAGTGCAAAATGACCTATTATTGTTTTAAAATTCTCAAGACAGGCATGTGACTGCTTTAGCTAGATGTATGCACAATCTAGATCTTGGTGACCTTCAACATGTCACTAAAAGTGCATAAATGTCATTTTAAAAAAGTTCTAGAAGGCTGAGCTTTAAGACTTGTGAGATGTCCTGATGCTATACAACTTGTGAAAATATGAGGAGCAAAAATTAAACTGCGCAGAACATCRACGTCATTCAAAACTCCACCTTCTGTTTGCTGATTGGYCCAGGTAAAATAAACTACAAGCAGACTCTGCGCAGAAAATTGACGTTCTGTTCTCTGATTGACCCGGCTAAAAATCTGCCAGTGAAATCATCTCAATGGGAGAAGTCCCAGACGGAGCAGTGAAGGAAACTAGAATTGAGCGGAGCTGCGTAGGAAGGTAAGRGCCAGGCTAGTGTTCTCTATTTTTATGATGTTTGTTGCAACTATTATGCCAAATTATCTGCAACAGAGTTGCCAAGTTAGGTCTGGACTTACCAACTACAATTTACTTGTTTTAATTCTCCTCTTGTYCTGGGTCAGATTCTAGGTCCAACACCCCAATTTTGTTACATTTGAACAAGGTGTTGGGGGCAGCTTTACTCAGGTGGTCCACCTATGTAAGGCTGGACGGACAAGTCTTCTGTTGTTAACATCTTTTGTTTAAATTGTAAAGGAAATATTTTTGCAAGCACCCCCCACCCCAAAATAAAAAATAAAATAAAATTAAATAAAAATTAAAAAGAGTGGTCCGGTCTGGAAGGGGGGCTGTTCTTTTAAGCTCCTTAAAGGAACAGTGTCGAACCAGCTACTCTGAGACACACATCCGAGAAGCGGTGGATATGGAGGAATTCAGACCAAAGCATTCAGTTCCATTTTATAAAGACCCCAAGTGAATGATTTAAATGTGAAAGGGAGGGATTTAAAAGCATTATGTGTCACTTTAATTTAAAGTGATCCATGATYATTCGTAACATTAGACTTTATTTAATAAGCATATATATTTACTGTAAAATAAAGACTGTAAAAATACTGTAGGCTGTTTAGATTTATAATTTTTAAATTAAAACTTTAAAAATATATTTTAACACGGACGGGGCCATTTTATTCACACGCAAAGCATTCTGGGTAAATGATGACGTGGATAGGTCCTCGGTGCGAGGCTGCTAGCGAGCTATATCCACCCTGAAGGTTAATCTTGGACAATATCTGATGATTGACTCTTTTAAATGACCTTAAATACCTTCTCTCTGTCAACACACTCTGGTTTCATTTAAAAGAGCCAATTTAGATWACTAAATTTGAAGTATTTAGTTGTTTTTGAACTCATGTTTTGTCAAATTATCAGTAGTTTGTGTTTTATCAGTCTTGACATTATACAATCTGATACATTCAGAGTCTTCTGTGGCATAAATATAGTCTATGCTCAGCACATATTCCTTTGCATAATAACACAAATATTGTACAAAACAGCAACAAATTCCACAAAACCATGCAGCAGCTGAGGCARTTAGCACTGTACTGAGACTGTGTTCAGTGACGTTGGGGTGCTGTTGACCTCAACCCTGACCCTAACCAGTGAAGAGACAGATTTTGAATCTGTGCATAGTTTAATAAACTGAAGAGACAAATTTAAACAACTAATACCATTTTTATCATGACACCTGGCAGATACAAGTCTAGTTATGTGACTCAGTTTTTTGGCGGCAGACATACCTGAAATTGTATCCAGGTGAGACAGACGTTTTCTGTGACATAGCATCTAGTCGAGTGAAGGAGTATGCAGGCTTGCACTCATCATCTGACTTGTCTAGATCACACATCCAACTAATCTTTATTCCAATCACTCCGCCCTGTCAGATTATCACATAAAGAAAAATAGGTAATTGACTTAAACACACGAGTCAAAACTAAGGCATGAATCCTGCAACATCGGATTGTTGAGTCGCAAATCAAATGACGTCACTAACAAAATTTGCACTTTTCTGGTACAAGTCACACCCGCTTCGAGGCGGCTCTCAGCACAGTGCAAAAAGAGCAGAGCAGGGCTGGTGTAGAGCCAGGCCAGGCCGGGTTGGGCCGAGCCAGGCAGGGCCCTGCAGTGCGTAATCGTCTCCAGTGTAGTGTGGAGAGCTATTGCAACAGCATCTTCTGTGGATCTATTTGTCCGGTATGCAAACTGGTGGGGGTCGAAGTTTGCAGGGAGATAATCCTTGATGTGCTGAAGAACCAGTCTCTCGAAGCATTTCATGATTTTCAGAGTAAGGGCCACCGATCAATAATCATTCAGGCTGGTTCTGGTGGATTTCTTCAGCACAGGGATGATGGTTGCTGATTTAATCAGAACAACGCAGTCATGAACATAGCGATTGCCAGTGAGTTGTAAGTCCAAGTAATCCATTTTATGCACCAGGGATCTTGCGWTAGAGAGATAGAGGCTTGGTAGAGCTGGCTTATGAGGCTGTGATCTTAGCCTTAGCATGACACCGGACCTACAACCTCGCTTCTGCTTCCTCGCCCTTCTCCGTCTCCGCCACCTCCTTGTCCTGATTACAATCCATGGGGAGCCGGGTGGTCTTGCTATCTCATCTGGAATGTTGTGTGTGTGGTGGAAGTCGCTCGTCAGCGGTGTCTCACGGTTCGATATTTTTTCGATACAAAAAAGAGAAATGTCCATGCCCCTTTTAACTTGTAATTTATTTAAATTAATTATGAACAAAAGTACCTCAAAAGTACAGTTTTTAAATTAAATGTTGCTGAAACAGCAAGTTTCTCAGTGGATCTGTGCTCAAAAATGCAGCCTAGGTGGAGTAGTCGAACACAGATCCACTGATCCTTCAACACAGAGCATCTTCAGAAGACAAGTTGATAAAATAAATTTTTTAAAATCTGTATTGTTCGATATGGTACGATACGGGTACATGTATTGTTGCACCCCGAATAAAAAATACACACACACACACACACACACACACACACACACACACACACACACACACACACACA